CCCCAAAACCCCAAAACCCCAAAACCCCAAAACCCCGTCTTAAATGGTATGAATTGAAGATATTAAATAGTAGTACATATGATAGCATGTAAAGCAGCTGTTTGTGAGGAGGCCGGTGAAGATTTGGTAGTAAAAGAAGTCACGGTTGATCCTCCTGAAGTAGGGGAGGTTAGGGTTAAGATATTCTATACAGGAGTTTGTCATACTGATGAGTATTTCAGGTCTGGGATGGATGACCTAAAGATTTTTCCAACAATCTATGGCCATGAAGGTGCGGGTATTGTAGAGAGTATAGGGGAAGGAGTCACTTCAGTCGAAATTGGAGATCATGTCATTCCTTCCTACTGCCCTCAATGCAGAGAATGTGAGCTTTGAAAATCTCCTAAAACAAATTTTTGAGAGATAAATTGGATATCCACATGGACAGGAACAATGCCAGATGGGACAACTAGATTCAAAGACAAAGATGGAAATAAATTGTTTCATTTCATGAGCACCAGTACTTTCTGTCAATACACAGTAGTCTCAGAAATCCACATAGTGAAGATCACCGAGGAAGCTCCTCTTGACAAAGTATGCCTGCTCGGCTGAGCAATAACCACAGGCTATGGGGCCGTCCTTAATACTCTTAAGGTTGAAGAAGGATCTTCAGTCGCAGTTGTCGGCCTTGGAGGCGTCGGCCTGGCCGCCATCATGGGAGCAGCCAATGTCAAAGCGAGTCAAATCATCGCTGTTGATATTAATCCGGATAAGTTTGAAAAAGCTTTAGCCTTTGGAGCGACAGATACTGTTAATCCATTAGATTATGATGGAAAGGAGTTAAAGGATATCATTTCGGAAATGACCGATGGAATTGGAGTAGATTATTCGCTTGAATGAGTTGGAGAGGCTAAACTTATGAGGCAAGCTTTCCTTGCTACAAAACCCAATGGAGGATTTAGCTGTGCTATTGGAGCAACACCAGGAGAACAAGATCTTGAACTCGCCTCCGATGATATCCAAGGAAGACAAATAACCGGAACGTACTTTGGTGGCACCAAAAGCAGAGACCAACTACCTGGCCTAGTCGACGAGTACCTCTCAGGCCACATAAAAATAGATGAGTTCATTACCCACACCTTCACTCTTGAAGAGATCAATGAAGCTTTTAACGCCATGAAGGAAGGAAAATGCATCAAAGCAGTTGTCAAAATGGTCGATGATGAGTAGCTAATATCCATTGCCCAATTCAATATTTTTAAGCAAAATAGGGGTTTTGGGGTTTTGGGGTTTTGGGG